CTTAAAATTTTGAAAGTCATAAAAGCTTTTTTATCCCAGTCTTCTTTAGCTGAGGCCGCGACAATTTAAGGCCAACTATTTACTATTCAATAAAAGAAGCAACTCTGCTCCAGGTTAGAGGCACCGACTAGGAGTACACTAATCCGCACAATATGTTCAGATACTGAATAATGTACGCATTCGTTTCAAGCAAATAAAGTAAAAATTATATACATACATATATAAATATATATTAACCTCAATTCTTCAAATTAATCAAGAATCTATATGAATTAACGGTACTATTATATCATTTATTCTTCTATGTAAGCCATTAATTGTTATATACGCCAACAAATTGTTGAGAAAATCGATATCCACCTAGGCGTCAGTCCAGGTCATTGCAGTAATTAACATCCCAACCAATTCAAGAGTCAATAACACAATTTTCGACCACTCTTTCTGTTCATCAAATCACATTATTAATAAACAGATTATATAGAGCGAAAAGAAATATTGCATTTCGACTACTCTCACATTTTATCAAATCATATTGTTGGCTTTATTATTAATTTATAAATCGTGTAGTGCAACAAGTAATATTTCTTTTAGTATAAGTGATATGAAATCTAAACTCTTTATGCGTTTTTATCATCATAAAATAAATAATAAAACTATTTCGATAGATATCTACTTCAAATCAAGCTACCATTTCATTTATGATTATATATTTATAATCTATTTAAATATTTACTAAACCAAAAGATGGCTTGATATTCAGTCTCGTGGGAAGTAAATCTCATTATCCATTGGGCATTGTCGTAATATGAAGTTCAGCTCTTTGCTACTTTATTCAAACCGCGTGCGATTATTATCTTAAAGCCCACACTGAACGATGCTTTCAGCGAAATTGCTTTAACTGCGTGGTGGAAGTGACATATTTTACCTTGACCGTGACAATTTCTCGTTATTAGTCGTCCCCAGCTGAGGTTTCTTAGTCAGCTATTGAACTCTTGTTGTCAGTATATTGCTTCTATAATGATCGGTCGTTGGCACGATCAGTTGTCATAACAAATAATTTAAATCACTTCCTCAACCCATTTAGAGTTTGGCTTCTTGACTTGAAAGTGTTTCAAAGCAACATGTCCTGATCTAACTGTTAAGTTTTAGATACTTATAAGGACTTATAAGGCTTGGTGAACTTACCTTCAGAAACAAATGTTATATCGATGGTAAATATGAATACCAAAACGATGAAGTTTACAACCCTGTGAGATGAGCTCCCCGACATTCTAGGCTTGCAGCTGAAATGTCGCTCATCTTGATAATCCATTGCGTTGTACACCGCCAAGGCGGTAAGCCTGTTGGCGAAATCATGAAGAAAACAAACTTTTTGATAACGGAAATATTAAGCACTATTATTGTTACTATCACTCTGAATGCCCAAGAGTAAAACTAATGAGAATCAGCGTACACAAAACTGGTTTCTTAGGCACCTGCAAACATATTTGTGAATTTGCTTTTGTGGGAGTTTTTAAAGTTTATTTGTTGCTATCCGAGCAGAGACTCAGCTGTTTTATAGTTTAGCTGAAAACTCAATGAATGACGCACTCAAACCTGAGACTACAATAGATCAATGCCTAGTTGGGCGTTGATAGTTCATCAGATTAGTTCAAAATCCTGTTGACCATGCAGCCTGATGCGCGCTGTGCTGTGAGCACCTGGGTAAAGCTAAAGCAGCAAGAGTGAAGCTGATTTCTCTTTTGCTCATATACGGGTGCATGGTGCAATCGCTGGGCATATCCAATGAGTAAAGCGAAGGTGTAAGGGAGAAAGAGGAAGACAGATAGAGAGAGAGAGAGCGTCAGACACGCTGAATTTCGTGAAGATATTTAAAACAAGCTCTGTCGAAACTTCAGCCTTTAAAAATGGCAGGTGTGTTATGTAAGGCCTGTGCAGAGCTTAAATCGTATTCTGTAAATCAATTTAACGATGGCGTCAGATGTTCACATACGGATCGGACGAATATATACAGAGGCAACAATTGAACAACAGAAACGAAAATATTGAATGGCTTCCATTCGCATTTTGTTATGTTTTGTATTTATTGCTAACGTGCGAGATTCACTTGTATTGGATATTTATTTAAATCTTATGCATATTCATGTACATAGGCCTATTTCACATATATATTGAGTACACATTCTTACAAAATCACATGTGAATGTTTCGAATACGAAATTATAGACAATTTGCTTGAAAAAACTTTCTCAATTTGCGTTTCAGCGGACATGAAACACGCGCGCAGACGCGACGTTGCGAATATGAGCACGGTGTATATACTACTAAATCAAGTTCACTAGATGGAGCTTTTCTTCGGTCTCTTGAGCGAAACACAAACGAAAAACTTGTTTAGCCACAAAAAACAACATACTTTAACTGCCATTCTCGCCATCTCTGGCTCTCTCTCTCTTTCTTTTGTGCTCTGTCCCTCCCTAGCTGACTCTCTCAATGTTTGATCGGCTCTCGGTGGAACTGTAAAATACCGAAACATTGCCATGCGTATTTTGAATTACTCGCCATTCATATTCTTATATATATAAGGCTTACTGTGGACTATGCCTACAGCTGGGTAATGGGGGAAAGACCTTTGGATATCTCATTTTATGTACATATTTTGCATTTATCTCGCTATCCATATTTAATATTTTTGCAGTAATTTAACTCGTCGATAACGTTTATACCAAATTAAAGAGCGCATTTCGGAACAAGAATTTAAATTACTGTCTCTCTGTCTACTTCATTTTAAAAATATGCGTATAATGAATTAATGCTGGCTCTTCTATGGTTCATGGTATCAAATGTATGACATAATGGAGGTGTTTGCATAGTTTCTAAGTAGTAAGCTCAGTTCCTATTACATTGTATAATAGCGCGTCTCATATCATATATGTATTAAGATATTTTTAAACCTTTATATTCTTCTTGTCTACACATATCAATTCTTAACAAGTAAAAACACCGGGCGTTACCGACAGGGAAATTCTCATTCACATCCCATTAGCAACTTAGTAGCTTAGTTTGGCTCTGATACTGTAGAAAATTCAGTTTTTACAGATTTGCCACGCCCTTACTGGGCGTAGACACCTCATTTTTGGACACTTTTTAGAACCAGCTAACGGTACCCTAAGTGCAATTTGAATGCTTTCGATCAAAAAATGTGAAAATTACAAGGTATTTTTCGATATGACACGCCCCTAAAGAGGCGTAAAAATATATTTTGGGTCATCGATAGAGAAGGTTACCAGTAACTCAAATATTTGAAGCTTCTAGCTCTTATACTTTAGTAGATACAAACATATATCTGCCTTAGCTCTTTGGTCTTGGGTGGTGACGCGGATCCACATTCCAAATTTCAGAATTCTAGCTCTTCAACTAATATGATTTCTGGTATTTTGGAAAATGCATTCTCCGATTTGCCACGCCCCTAGTGGGCGGATCGGGTAAATTTTAACACTTTATAAATCGGAGATATACACGAGCATGTGTTCCAAATTTCAAAAAAATTGCGTTCATAAGGACAGACGAACAAGACAGACATTGCATAAAACCAATATACTAATTCACTTTCGTGAATAAGTATAAAATCTAAATGAATAATCGAAAAAATTTATTATTAATATCATCTTGCTGTAATAACCTAGAAGCAATCTTCAATGCACAATACGTACATTCTCCTTTTCTATTAGTTTTATAGGAGCATTTACTGTCCACTGTGCAATGAATTATCGAACCCCTAATCTTCTTAATTAGCAAGTTGGCGTAAAGCGTGTAACACTCGTACTGTTTCAGTACGTACATTCCCCCATCATTATACTCATTCACTAACGTAAATTGAGTGTCTTCGTTTTATACTATCCGTCTGTCCGCACGAATGCAATCTATTTCGCTGCTATTGAAGCTAACGACTCGAAATTTAGATTATAATTATAAGGGTAAAAATTGCTACGATCCGCATACTAGGTGCGAAGCATTTCGGAAAAAGCCTTTTCCGATATCTCAGAAGCCAAGGTAGTTGAAGTAGCACTCACGAGATGAACAGTTTTACTATACAAGTTCAATTTATGACAGATAAATCAACGCGGTTTGGAGCGTGGAAAAACTTGTCAAACTGTATCTGCTACAGCTTTAGAGCTGGGAAGCTAAAATTCGGCACGTGTATTATGCTAAAAAAAATATATATATCGACGTCGAAATATAACACCCATTGGGGTTATGGCCAACTGCAAAAGTCTATATGTCCTAATAAATATATAAAACAATAATTTAGTTTAAATACTATAAATAGTACACATTCATTTCATTGATAATAAAATTCACTTTACGCAAATAGAATTCAATTAAATTACAATTTCAATCTCTTGTTTTATAGTGCATCTGTCTGACCCATAGTGCAGTGACACCCAGACAGCTGTAGAGCAGCCCATAGAGCACCACATTGTGCAGCATGGAAACAATGCCAGCGAGTAGCTGACAGTCTAATAAATGTTGTTGTGACGTAAGGTAGACAACGGATTGGGGCACTCATGAGCGGCTTACTGTAATGTGTTCCATTTCCTTTTGCTCGAACAGTTATATTTAATGTGCGGAATATCAGTAGAACTACAATCAGTTTAAGTGAGGCGAATACCAATGAAACTGGAATAACATTCAATATGAATTGAACACATTCATGTATTGAAATATCAATAATGGCTCGATTCAAGGCCACTCTGTGGACGACATGCATTTATTATTTATAGATATGTGATAAAATCAATATGCATTTCCGAGTAATCAACCCTATTTTAACTAAGGCTATTTTGAAACAGCCATGATACATTTGTGCTTTTAATGGTGTACATTACCAAAAGCATTCAGTTTGTTTCATGAGTGATAAGCGTACAGCGCTGTATTCTAATAATAGACACGCTATAACATAATAGTAACTAACTGATAGAAGTAAATACACCTATATACGTCGTATGTATGTCTGTACTTCCTACAATACCACAAACCGAAACTGTAGTCTTCCAGATCCGCAGATCATGTTCCCTTATTTAGTCGGCGTATGGGTGGGGCACGGCAATGGGGTGTGAACGACTTCGTAATACTCATGTGAAATGTAAAAATGCTAATATAAAATTTACTTAACTATAAAGATAAAGAATAAAAGGGAAACAATAATTTTATATTGTATATACAATTTATTTATTAAATCAAAATAAATCAAATGTATACAGAAAAACAATCGTACATTATAGAAAATGGTATTCAAAATTGAATGAATTGGATCATAGCTCAGCTGAGCTATTTAGACGAGCACAATGAAAGTATACCATTTTTATTTTTAATTTTGAAAACATTCTCTTGCGAGAGTTAGCTCTATAGCAAAAAAATAACGTAGCTGGTAGAAAACGACTCGGTCAATGATCTCAAAACAGATACACTATACATATATTTTATTTAACCGAAGATTATATTAGTCGGCAGAATCGATGGCTCACTTGTATAATTTGGTAGTTCCTTAAAGCTATTGGATGTAGTTTTTATTTAAATTTAAACAAATTTACTTATAATATTTTAAATACTATAAATACCACATATTCGTTAATTCAAAATCAAATTTACTTTACGTGTATAGCGTACGATTCAATTATAAATTCAATCTCTTATTATATAATTATTATAATTTATTTCATGTACTTGTTTGGCTATGGCATTGTTATTGTTTATTATTATCGTTACGGTATTTTCGAGTCGTGCATTCGATGGTTGTTAGAGTGCGATAAGATTTGTTTACAAATAAGCTGATAAGAAGAAAGCCAAAAGAGCAGTGCTGGAATATTGACGGAGTTTCCATTTCAATCGTATAACTCGCTGTGTGTGCTTCGGTTAAATGTTTGTGTGGTAAACGTTTGTTTCTATCGATTATCGACCTAAATTAAGTTACATTATTTATTTGAAATTTGTTTTAGTCTATTAGTAAATCAATAAATTATGATCAACTCAAATTGATGAGTAATACATATAGCTGACGTGATTATATTCTTATATACTAAGTAAAAGCAACACGTGTAACTAAATATCAAAATTTTAACTTCGAACTAAATAATTTGTATTAATTTATAAGACAAAATATATACACTTAAGGAGAGAATATGTACTCATATGTATATTTTTCATATACAGCGACTCATTTCGCAAGTTTTTTGTATGTGTAAAAAGTTTAAAGTGAATCATAGAAAGAGAGATAAAGATGTGGGTTATGGGTTTTCATGACCTAGTGAACTTATTGCCAATAATTATACATACTGAGTAGGCTGAGCATAAGCTAATAAGAATTTGGGCTCTAATCCGAGCGGCATCTGGATTCGATAAAAAATAAAATACAAATTATCAAATCAAATTTACTCTGGGGAATTCACAGCATTTCTGGTTTAAAAAACGTGTTTTAAATAATTAAGATAAGGTAATATCTTAGAAAATAATTCTTGCGATCTAACCATTTATTTCCAATTAAAGTATTGCATTGCTTACAACTTTATAATTCTTGATAATTCTATGACGAAAAGTAGCATAGTAATCCTTGCATTTTATTCCTTATTTATGTGCGCCTTGCATGTATCTTTTATTTCATATATACCATAGCTGTGGGATCTGACCATTAGTAATGCTGTTTGATGCCCATTGAAATAAGGGTAAAGAGAAAAGATGACCCAAAAACGATTGCGATGCAATGCCATTGTACTATTAATACTTTTGTATATTGGTCAAAAAATGAGGAGCAGTGATGCAAGTGTGCAATTTCATCACGAGTCACATGAAAACAAATATAACCTTGGCGAGCAAATTGAGCAAATAGAAACACCAAAGGACCAAAAGCTCACCGTGCGATTGCCATCGAATACACTCCTTAAGTACGGCGCCTATAAGGACGTTTCGATACTTCACTTTCGAGTTCCATTGGATACACGAGTTGCGTACTTTAGTTTTAAAGCTTTTGAAGAATCCAAGAGTGCCTTTCGTAAGTACCGAAATTTAATCCATACAGATATTAACAATAATAATAATGAAATCTCGTTTGCAGAAAGAAAATGCAAAGTTAAAGATGTATCACTACACTTAAAGGCAAAGAGCTTCCCAGTGATTAGTCCTGAAAATATTACTTTTCCCAAATATTTTTTGTCCTCGGATGAAAGGTAAGTTTTTCCACCTCAACGCTATTCTATTTATTTATAAGTGATCTTTATGTGTTGGGATAAATCCAAAGATTGTAACAGTTACTAAAATGTTAGATTCATTAAA